AGAGTGAGAGTGAGAGTGAGGGTGAGAGTGAGAGTGAGAGTGAGAGAGAGTGAGAGTGAGAGTGAGTGAAAGAGTGACTGACTGACTGACTGAGTGGGTGGGTGAGTGAGAGTGAGTGAGTGAGTGAGTGAGCGAGTGAGTGAGTGAGTGAGTGAGCGAGTGAGTGAGTGAGTGAGTGAGTGGGGTGAGTGAATGATGCGTGTGTGTGTGTGGGAGGATTTTGGGAGGACAGGCGGGAGGAGGAGGAGGAGAAGGAAGGAGCGGATACAAAAACCCCACACGTCAATGTTGGGAACAAAACGGATGGAAACCTGATTCCCAAATGGCTTGAACCCTCCCCAAAATCGTGCTTCCAGCCTCACCCATGTAAGAGTACCTCTTCCTAGATGCGTCCTAGTTCAAAGTTTAAAAGCACTTGTGTGTAAAAGCCTGTGTCCGTAAAAGTATCCACGCAAAAAAACCTTTTTGTAAAAGTATCTGTGTGTAAAAAGAGGCCTTTATACAAATGTGTGTCCGTGTGAAAACAGCTCTGCGTAAGAGTATTTATTGTAAAATCTTCTGTATGTGAAGGCTAATTTGTGTTAAAAGAAGCCCTGTGTAAAAGCACGTGCGTGTAAAAGCACTCCTCTGTAAAAGCATCGCTGTGTAAAGGCACCTGTGTGTAGAAGTACCCATGCGTCTGTGTGTAAAAGTTTGGTGCGTAAAAGCATCCCTGTGTATAAAACCGCCACTGGGTAAAAGCATGTGTATGTGCAAATGTCTGTGTAAAAACATGTCTGTGTGAAAGCGCCTCGGTGCGAAAGTATCTGTGTACAATATTCTGGTCGTTTGCTTTTGGAATCTCTAAGCTGCGTAGTATTTGCTGCAAAATTGCTCGGTACTTGCAGCACTTCTCAGCTAGCACCTGTACATTGCATGGTATGATGCAACATCAGTTCACTGCACGGAGCTTTGCCGTCGGGCAATATCTTGCAGCAGTGCAAAGCTAACAGCGGCAAATTGCATAATATTTGCAAGATTTGGAGTCATATCTGAAAACTGCGCGGTGATGTTCACAGCGCTGCGAAACAAAAAATTGCACAATGTTTAGAAACCAAAAACTACCACGTGCACAGTATGTGCAGCATCCTGGGGCAAATTTTAGTGCATTGCATAGTCTTTGCAGTATTTGCAACTATCATTGGTAAACCGCATGGCACGCGCAGCGTTTGGAAATTGACGTCGGTAAATTGGATGCTATTCTTACGACTTTCTGAAGCTCAAACCTATAAGTGGTTGGGCTTCGCAAAATATTGAAATTATCATTTGCAGATTGCACATAGCGGCATGGTGTTTGCAGCGTGTTGCGGCTAAAATCTGTAAACTGCACGGTCTTTGCCACATTTTGAAACCGACATTTGCAAATTGCTTGGAACCTGCAACTCTTTGAAAGTAACATGTCCAAAGTGCACACCATTTTGGAGCTCGGCCTTTGTTTCTTTCTTCCTGCCGTCCTCCCTTCCTCCTTTCCTTCCTTCCCTCCCTCCCTCCTTCTTTCCCTTCCTCCTGTTGAAATTATGTCCTTCTTTCCTTTCCTGTTGGTTTTCTATTCCAACACCGTTTTCATTTGATGAACTTGCCCTAGGGTCTCGGTGCAAGTGTAGCATGCAACAAGTATGTCAACTCCTCTTGTGAGGTGAGCAGCCCATTGCCCTGGTTGCTGCATGGAAGGTGGGAACGTTCGCAGTTGCTTCGGTAGAAGCATCATAGTCAGTATGTTGCTCCCTAACATACGTCAATATCCGTCCCTCCCCCCACTTCAAACCAAACCTGCAAACGCAAGGTCGTCGTCACATTGTCATTGTCCTCGTCATCGATATCGACATAGACATCGGTTTCGTCCTCGTCATCATCATCGTCATGGTCATCGATATAGATATCGATATCGATATCATCATCACCACCATCACCATCACCATCCTCATCACCATCCTAATCATCATATTTTCCTTATCCACGTCGTCACCATCATCATCATCATCATCATCATCATCATCATCATCATCAGCCCCATCATCATCATCATCATCATCAGCAGCATCAGCATCATCATTATCGGCAGCATCATCGTCGTCGTCGTCGTCGTTGTCGTCATCGTCGTCATCATCGTCACCATCATCCTCCTCCTCATTATCATCGTCATCTTCAGCAATCATGATGGTCAGCATGACAACAGCATGCGACCGTTGAAGACTACCTAATTAATGCAAGGCGCAACCAACAGACAACCAACAGACCACCAACACAACCGCCCCCACACACCACCAAGACACCACCGAGACACCGCCCAGGCCGGCAGCTGGGAACCCGTCAGCGCCCATCCGCCTTTAGAGTTAACAACCCAACTATCGCTATTGGGAAAAAACTGCAGGCTGTTTTGGCGCGAAAAACATTTCGAAGTCAAAACGCTAAAAACACCACATGTTCGGACCGTTTTGGAAGTTGTGATGTTGAAAAAGTGCATGCCGTTGTGGCGGGAAGCACATGTCGAAGTCAGAATGTGAAAAGCACATAACGCTCGGACGACTGTTGGACGTTCAACTGCGCCACACGACGTTATAACTACATCAACTGCTACAACTGCAACTACTACAGCTAGAACTATTACTACTACAGCTACAACTGCAAGTACAACTACAGCTACAGCTACATCTACACTATATTACACCTTCACAACACTACACTACACGGCACTACACTGCACTGCACTGCACCGCACTGCACTACACGACCACCAAACATCAACAACGACGACTACTACTACTACTGCTACTACTGCTACTGCTACTGCTACACCTACACCTACAACTATAACTACCTCTTCACTACAACTTCAGCTACGACTACAACTACATCTACACTATACCACACTGCATCCAGCAGGTGTAGGTTAGATGGCCACTGCAACCACTCCAAAAAGCACAAATCAGACCGCCTTTCTGTCCATCAGTCGGTTCGCTCTGCCATCCATGCGTCACAACAACTCACCTCTCCTTTAGTTTCCTGCCTTGGGAACTTCCGCCACCGCTTGCGCGGTACTACTGGCATGAGCAGGTTATGCATTCCGAATTGTGGCGGTGGGCCCTTTCCTTTCTTGAATGGTAGAGTTTGTCCATGTCGGCTACCGAGGTTCTTTGGCAAAGTCATCAGAAAGTGGCTCCCAGGTCGGTTTCAGGTGCTTCGGTTGAGTGCCGGATTCGCTTTCTTCCGAAGCACTACCCATGCGTTTTTTTGACGGCTTTTTTGACCAGGGTCAAGCAGGTTGCAAGTGCCCTTTGCTTTCAATTGGCTTGTCTCAATATTGGATGTTGAAGAAGGATAAAGAGTTGTTTCGGCCTGTCTTTTCTGCAGGGTACTCACGACAAATATAGTTTGTTTGGGGGCGCGCCATTTTCTGTTAACCTGCCTTGGGTTCAATGGCTAGTCCTCGGTGCTTTGAACTGGTTCCATTTGCACCGGTAAGTTTTTGTCATTTCCAACAGCTCGTGTTACGGGCAAGAGCTGGCGACCGAGGAGGTTCCGGAAGGCGAATTTTCATGGCACACAGGTCGAGGCTTGAGTGAGTGCAGCAGCTTGGCTGTAGACTTTGCAGATTCATCATGTGAATGAAGTTTGTGGGAAGATTTGGTTTGGTTAAGTTGGCCATTTGAGACTGCAATGCCCGTCGACAGAAACTGCCATTTTGCCTTGACATCCACATGCCTTCACCTCTCTAAAATACGTGAGATGCGCAGTCGAAGAGCATCTAAAATTTGCATTTTGAGCCTCGTAGACACGGATTGTTCTCAGGGTGTGCCAACTTAATTTAACGCGAAAGCCATCTGATTCAGGGGGTGCAAGCGCAGTTCAATCAACACCCTGTAGCATATTTTCATTCAGCTTAGACAGCGTTCGTTTAGGATCACGCTTTTCATGCCATAGTGTTGAAGCAATGTCAAAGTGGGTGCGCAGTCTTCCAGATCCTGATTTGCTGCCCTTGCCCCATTTACAGCAGCAAATCGCCCGGTCACACATGGTGCTTGTACGTATGACCGCCGTCCACCAGCTGTGTGGAGATTTCTGTTGAACGGCCAAGATGGGGCGCGTATATGAGCTGACTGGCTCTAAAGGAATAGTTTGGCGATCATCAAAGAAAGGGGCGGGTCTGTGCGGAAGGTTACATTGGATTTCCTCACAGGATGCAAAATCGTAGGCCATCATCATCGTTCTGCAAAAATCCGCGCGTATATAGCGTGACACGGTTTTTCCCGTTGAGGTCACAGGCATACAATTTGTCAGGCATGGCTCGTCGCACTTTCGGATATAATCATTTTTGTTGGTTTTGGGCATTTGGGCAAGAATTTGCCATTAGTATATGCGCATGCAGTGCCTCTTTTCCGGTTTTGGCCTGAAACGCGAAGACTTTGCAGTGTGGACACCGCCCCCTTCCGGCATTTTTCCGTGGTAGTATTGGGCCGCCAGCACTGCAGTTTCTGTGGGGCCCACAAGTCGTATATTTTTCCCGGCTTGTTACACGCAAAAAGGGTTGTATTTTTCGTGTCGCATTGCCCTTTTCTTGCCAGCCACATGGTTGTCCGTAGATGGCCAGATGTTTACATTGATAGAAAATAGGTGTAGGTGTTTGTTTTTGAGGAGTTCCATGTTGGTCTCTGTTTGTATATTTACCTAATCTATTTGTTTGTTTCTCCACAGAAGCTTTAGTGCACATAAAGATATGTCTGTGTACATTGATAATCTTTCTGGATATGTATACATGTGTCACTACATTTGTTTACCCGCCTACGCTTACATGTATACATCTTTGTTGGCTACGCGCTGCTGCTACATACCTGTCTTCACACGCACGCTCGTTTGTCCATGTTTGCGCATACATACAGACATACATACATGCATGCGTATACATGGGAGTTGCGACGTGAGTCCGTTTAATGAATTCCAGGCTTTGAAACGCCCTCACCGCAATGCTCTTGCGATTCAGGCGTGGCCCGATCAACTTTTTCACTGAATGATGCGTGTTGAAGCGCTCTTGTTGTGGTGGGGTGCGATCGAGGAGTTGCCTGGGCAACCCTCTCAATACATGACGCGTGTTGACAAGGCTTTGGCTGCGGCGCGGTTGCTATTGGAGCTTTGTGTGCTAGTTAGTGGGCTTCCTTTTGAAATCCTTGTGGCTGCGCGGTGCTTCCGGGTTGCGTGCCCATGGCTTGGGAATACTTCCCCCATAGACTCAGCGAACAGCGCCTCTCAATATAGGAGTAGTCTATGTGACACAATGTCGCGGTTGGAGATGTCGGAGTCTGCACATGTCACGACATTTTGAAGATGTGATAGTTTATTTGACATATGACATGGCAACACAGTTGAAACCTGTTGGTTCACATGATTTTCATTTTAGAATTTTGGCCTAAACATTAGAAGTCTGTACCGTCCACATGACATGACAGTAACTTTGAAGATTGGCAGTCTACATGAAATCATAGCTCATTTAACGGTGTTGTTGTTGTTGTTGACAGGGCACGACATCAATTCGAAGTTGCGTGACATGACATCCGCTCAATATGTGGTAACTTGCATAGTATGGCCACCAACGTCAAAGCTCAAACACATCTTAAACAAAGAAGGTTCAATCAAATTTCAAATGTATGGCCACCAGGTTTCAAACACAAGGTGACTTTGAATGTTTGATTGCCTTGAAGTACGGAATAGTATTGCATTTTTTCCAGGAGTCTGCTGTACGAAGAAATCTTGGACATGTTTCTCTTTTTTCTGGTGCGAAGTAGTTTTCTCTCTTTTCTGGTACGAAGTAGCATTGGGAAATACATGTTTGGGTTGTTTGGTAGCTTGAAGTAGAATTGGGAAATCTTTGTTGTTTGTTCTTTCGGACGAAGAAATGCTGAGACATGTTTTTCGTTGCTTTTTTTCGAAGGTAATATTGGGAAGTATGTTTCGTTTGTTGTGTAATGCGAAGGAATATTGGGTCATGCCTTCTTATTCTTTCTGTAGCGTGAGATAGCTTTGGGAAGCATCCTTGCTTGCTTTGTAGTACTGTCCGGTGCGGGGTATTGGACCATGGTTTTCTTTGTTTTGGCAGTGCGACGTGGACTGGGAAGTATTCTTTTATGGGGTGCAAGAGAGTATTGGAGAATCTTTTGTCGTTTCACAATGCTAAAGCTTTTTTCCCCACATCACTGTGTCGGGTTCTTGTTCCCCACATCACTGTGTGGGGATCTTGTTTTTCGCATGCATCCCGCCGGGGCTTCCGCCGCCTCCGCCGCCGCCTCCCCCTCCGCCGCCTCCTGTTCACTCACTCACTCACTCACTCACTCACTCACTCACTCATCCACTCACTCACTCACTCACTCACTCACTCACTCACGCTCAGTCACTCTCTCACACTCACTCACTCACTCACTCACTCACTCATCCACTCACTCACTCACTCACTCACTCACTCACTCACGCAGTACAGAGAGCTTCCTGGCTGCCTTTCGCGTGGCAGGCGCAGTACACAGAGCCTCCTGGAGGAGCTGCGGCGCGCGTGGTCGCCGCTGGGGCCGCGGCTGCCTTTCGCGTGCCAGGCGCAGTACACAGAGATACACAGAGCCTCCTGGAGGAGCTGCGGCATGTGTGGTCGCCGCTGGGGCCGCGGCTGCCTTTCGTGGCAGGCGCAGTACACAGAGCCTCCTGGAGGAGCTGCAGCGCGCGTGGTCGCCGCTGGGGCCGCGGCTGCCTTTCGCGTGGTCGCCGCTGGGGCCGTGGCTGCCTCTCTCGTGGCAGGCGCAGTACACAGCAGAGCCTCCTGGAGGAACTACGACGCGCGTGGTCGCCGCTGGGGCCGCGGCTGCCTTTCGCGGCTGCCTTTGTCTTGTGGCAGGCGCAGTACACAGAGCCTCCTGGAGGAGCTGCAGCGCGCGTGGTCGCCGCTGGGGCCGCGGCTGCCTTTCGCGTGGCAGGCGCAGTACACAAAGCCTCCTGGAGGAGCTGCGGCACGCGTGGTCGCCGCTGAGGCCGCGGCTGCCTTTCGCGTGGCAGGCGCAGTACACAGAGCCTCCTGGCGGAGCGGCGGCGCACGTGGTCGCCGCTGGGGCCGCGGCTGCCTTTCGCGTGGCAGGCGCAGTACACAGAGCCTCCTGGCCGCGGCTGCCTTTCGTGGCAGGCGCAGTACACAGAGCCTCCTGGAGGAGCTGCGGCGCGCGTGGTCGCCGCTGGGGCCGCGGCTGCCTTTCTCGTGGCAGGCGTAGTACACAGAGCGTCCTGGAGGAGCTGCGGCGCGCGTAGGTGTACTGCAGACGCGTGGCTGCATGTATCATGCGTCGGGCTCTTGTTTTTCACTTGGATCCCGCCGCTCCTGTTCCCGCCTCCGCCGTCGTAGGCTTATCATCACCACTCATCACAGCTCCACTTAACACATCACAACTTCTCATCACAACTAATCACAACTCATCACAACTTATCACATCCCAACTCATCACAGTTCCACTTCTCACACCTCACTTATCACATCACAACTTCTCATCACAACTCATCACAAATTATCACATCCCAACTCATCACAGCTCCACTTCTCACACCACTTCTCACACCTCACTTATCACATCAGAACTCATCACAGCTCCACTTCTCACACCTCACATCACAAGTCCACTTCTCACACCTCACTTCTCACACCTCCCCGAAGTTCACATTAACCTTAGATACATAAAGGCTTGACATATGGGGTTATCCGGTCCTTTTATTGCTGCTGTTTCGGTCACCAAGCATTGGGTTTGGGCGTCAATGTTTCGGGCGCATTGAGCTAAGAATAAAACATGCAATCCAAAACTTCAGCTGTCAAAGGTGATTTTCTACCAAGGCAACAAGTTCTTTGATAATAATTTTAATCGCATACATGAGTGAGCGCAGGCGTAGTCTCAAGATTAGACCGATTACCGTCCACATGATCTAGGCAGGATCTCTCGAAAAACAAAAGATTTGGATGGGTGCTTGATGGGAAACAACCTTGGAGAAACTTGTGTTGGGTGATTGTCTTTCGGGTATGCTTTACGGCTGCGACTTGGAGCCAAGCACGCGCAGGCACGGCTAAACGCGTTGTGTGCCTTACAGGTGTGTGCCAAATTTGCTTTACAGCGTGCCGCAAAACCACTATCAGCCAGGAAGGCTTTGTTTAACCAATCACGATTGTTATTGTTTTGCCTGGGCTCATTCATTGCGATCTGCTGTGAGGTGGATTCCTGTTAACAAGAGTGGCTGGCGCGCGGAGTCTGCAATGAGCGGCCTGTGTTTGAAGATGTACCAGCCTTCATCTACAATGAGGCGCTGAGATTGCTGCTTCAACCCCGCTGCACAACAGATTTGAATTGTTGGCGCCGCAAATCACCTGGATGTGGACGATTTTGTTCCAGTGTTTGTCACTGTGCTTTTCCTTGCCCCATACAATTTCAGCTATATGCAGGTGTGTGGCTTTTAGGGTCTTTCCATTGGTTTTCACCGGAAGCTTTTGCTCCTGGCTTCATTGCAATTGGTGCGCGCGCACGGCTGCAACACAAACATGCGAAAATCAGCCCTAGCAGAACTAGTAAGGGAAGTGCGGTGAATTCAGGGTTTCGAACATGGTAACTGGAGTTCAGAAAAACAAGAGGGCTCAAAAATAGGCATGCTTTAGATTAGTTTCTGGGTGGGCAGATCTTGTTCTGTAGGGATCATTGGCAATGGAGTGAAGAGGCTGTTCCGGGAGCAGTAATGGATCACCGTTGAGGGCAAGGTGGTTGTCTGTGTCTGGTGGAGCCAGTAGTAGGGATAAGTACGGTCGAAGTGGCGTGCAATTGCAGGTAGGTTTTTTCGTGTCGGCCCAGCAACTGGCCATTTCCTTGCGGTTGCACAAACTGTCCATAACTGATGGGCATTTGAGGAAAGTGATGCATCAAGGGCACATGTTGCGACAGAGGCTTCTTGAGATGTTGGCGCCAGTCTGGAGCAAGGAGCCATGGGGCACGAAGAGGTCGAGGACGAGGGACGGCCCTGCCTTTCCAAAACTTGATGGCCCGATCAATCGCATTGAGAGCATAGGATCTTTGCGGTTCTCGCACATTGAATTTTTCGCCAATCTGCGAAGAAAGTAACAGCCTCGAAGACGGATGTCGTTGGAGCGAATTCGTTTCTGCATGTGGAAGGGCCATACTGAGTTGGAGCTCAGTTGTTGAATCATATCCCAGAGTTCGATTCGGTTGAAGAAGAGCTTGCTGGCGTTGTAGACTCGGTGTACTATGGTCTTGTACTTAGCCTATGCGGCTCTGACCTTCTGAGCTCATAGATGCAGAGAGACTTCTCGGCAAGGCGCAATATTTGATTTTATTTGACAACCACCCCCGACGATATGCGCTCCACCGTGTCCTCCTTGGGTCGGGGCAATTTGAAGTTTTTCAGCTAGCGTTTAAAAGCGTTTTGGTTCACTGCGGGTGGAGGGCTGTTCTCCAGCCAAGTATTGGTAGAGCCCGGACTAACCAGCAATGATGTAGGATCAAAGGAATTGTCAGGCTGAGGTCGTGCCTGAAACGCAGCTTCGATCGGAGACATTTGCTGTCCTGGGGCAGCTGAACCGAAACGCCAGCTCGAACCCGCTGCAAGTCTCATATGCCAGAAAGGCAATCAAAATCCATTGCGTGGGTATGATGAATTAATGATTTGCCACATGTGGAAGGGTCGACAAGCTTTCACCACTGCATTCATCCCACACGTGAAAATCATGTGAACCCAGTTGCAGATTCAGACTTCTTTCCTGAAGGCCCTGCGGCTCAAAAACAGTGTGCCCATTTGCTTCGCATGGTAGCGGTGCCCACATCCTCTAGGGACTGGGTTCAACCATTGCTTTGAGGCCATAGAATCTTGGACTTTGAGACCAGTTTTTTTAAACCAATGTAGCAAGTGCTTGGTCTACAACTTGGACCCCAACCATCGAGGTGACGCATTCTGACCTATTAGGTCTGGTATATTGGTTGGACAAAACGTTCAGAATCCTTCCTGCTGCGGCGTACATGTCTGAGAAATTTTGCCATCTGCTACCAATCCACATAAATGTCCTGGGCTTCTGGACTTAGAGTGGGCTGCAGAACTGACCGTGGTTTGCATTTGCTGTCTTGAGGCAGCTTCGATCGGAGACATTTGCTGTCCTGGGGCAGCCGGGGCTTGTTGGGATGGTTCGGCAGAGTTGGCCAAGGATATGATGTTCAAGAACCCGTTGTTGGCCGGGCAGGATATGATGTGGGGCACGTACTCTGGCTAAGGGATCGATGTCGATCCCTGGAGAACGTAGTTGTTGAATGAGCTTGGAGACGAACACTGTGGATCCAATGTTTCCCAGCTGCACAACATACACGTCTTATGAGCCAATCGGCGAAGCCAATGATTGTGAAGATGGGAGAATTTGCCCGGTCGCACCGCCGTAGGTAGATCCAAAAACCATTCACACTTGGTGGTGCCGTGGCATTCGCAATCCGGTCTCCAAATATCCACCGGAGGAATTTCGCACAAAAAGAATTGTAAAGCCTTTGTTGGATGGAAGGGACTACGTACTGGATTGAAGATTGAGAAATGGTGGCGCCTTTGCCTGTGTAGTGCAGAAGCGTTGTGGAGTCTGCGGTGTGACGGAGGGTTGCCAAGCTGGGAAGGCAGGTTAATGGTGTTGGGCTGGCGGTGTGCTCGGAGGTGGCGGTGTAATTGGTGGAAAGGCCAGCATATGGTTGCGCGAGGGAAGGATGATATGCCAATGTGGGCTGCATGGGGACAGTGGTGCCAAGAGTTGATACGTATGGGACCATGAAATGACCTCAGTGCAGGAGGACTCCATATGGCTAGTTCTCTAGGAGGAGTATGAGATAGTTCGCGATCGGGCTGTGAGAATTGGGAAATGGCATCTTGCAAGGTCACGAGTGTCAGGCGTCTTAAGTGCGAGCCACAAAAGAACCGATAGTGGTCTGCAAAGCTGTGGAAACAATCGGTATCAATTGTGTCGAGGCAAAAGAAGAAATAGAGACTACGGTGACCCCTCAGGATCGTCAACCGGTGTGGGCGGTCATGCAACAGAGACAGCAGATGTATTAAATAAGGTCCAAACTTGCAATCGCCCTCACACGGGGTACTTGGCTTAGCCCCAGGCATGTCGCAAAAGTATCGCGATCGAAACGTTCATCCAGCAATGAAGGAACCAAAAGAAAGAAAATGCATGAATAAAAACATTCAGTCAAGCTGGTTTGGGGTACTTGGCTTGGCCCCAACCATAGTGTAAAAGGAACAACGGCTTCTGCCTGTTTGTGCAGGAAGAGTGGATATAGGCGCACGGTCACCTAGCAGATACAGTAGAGGAAGTAGTTGAACACCAAGTCTTGTTTGTCATGGGGACGCTTCAGGGAGTTCGGGTCAACCTCGGTGATGTAGTTGAATGGCAAGGTCTGAGTAGCAGCAACATCATGCGACTGGCAAGGCCTGCGTAGCAACAACATTTGTGACCGCGGCATAATTGGAGCTGACTGCCACGAAGCCCTCTTTGCCTTTCCCGACTCTTCGAATACGGCAGTCTCGCTGTAGTTGATCATTGCCACCTGCTTGAACATGTACGGGCTTCATTTTTAATGATGATGGCAAACAAGCTCACCGGAAGCTGGTTCTTGCTGATCTTGTACAAAGACTGAGTAGCTTGGGTAACTGCCCAGGCAGCGGCGTGGAGATTGATTTGGTCGGAGAGCAGTAAGTGCTCGGCTCCTTTCACTGCTGCGAAGATGTAACACAGGTGTCTTTGACCTGTGTAACCGGTGTTGGTGTCGGCCGGTCTTGTCACGGAGGGCTGGTGGTGTACGACAGCCCTTGGGGTGGGTGCCATCACGCGGTCGTGGTGTGGATCGTGAACTTCGTGGTAACGATCTTGGGGTGGTGTGTTTGTGAAAGTGTGAGTGACGACAAGCAGAGGTGAACGACGTGGTGAGCTTAGTCGATGGTAACGAGAGGATGGAGGTGGATCATGTTGTTCGGAGGTGTGATGAGGTTCCCTTTCGAATTTCGAGGTTGATCTCATAATTGATGACGGTTACCTGCACGACAAACGAGATCGATGGGTCTTGGGCGTGGAGTGACATCGCCGAGAACGTGGTAAGAGTGGGGGGCTGCGGTGGAGGTTGATTGGATGTCTGGTCCATAGATGAACGGAGGCGAGATTCGAGTGCAATTTGCCTCTCCGTAGCGGACTGGATGGAGCCCAATCTTTTGTCCAAGTGTGATTGGAGCTGATGTTAAATGCGAGAGGCGGTAGCCAAGGATGTTGGGCATCGGGCAGGATGAGCTTTCACAGGAGTAGGTGACGGTTCCGGAGGAGTCGCCGGAGGGGGTCGTTGTTGATGGCTGGTAGGGAATCGGAATCGGATGTGATGGAGGGACTCGCGCCTGGAGAAGACGACTGAAAAGGTTTTCGAGTTGTCGTAGTGTGGTTGTCCAAGTTGGTCCGGCTGATGCTGGTCGGGAATGCGCGATGGAGGTGGAGTTTGTGGTGGAAAAGAGGTGTCAGGTGGAGTAGTATGCCAATGGTGATGGATCTTGTGGGTTGTGGTTCGCGATATGCAGGTGGATGTGGATAGTATTGTACTGGCGTAGGTGGAACACCATGAAGAGGATTAGGTGATGCCGTAGGTGTCGACCATGATGAGGTAAGCCCAGGGTATGTTGGGGCCGGTGTCGAACTCGGAGTGGGATACCATGACGGCGTCGCTGGGTAAGGCCATTTATGGTCACAATATATACGGAAAAAACCCAAAGCGAGGAAGTTTCGTGAAGATGCCCGATCAGTTTCAAACACAGCAATGTCGAAATACTCCAACCACAAAAGATGATGAGGGATAATCGTTCGCGGGTCTCCCTGGGAAGGGTAACATGGTCAGTCCTGCACAACTGGATAACCTCACCAGAGACCAAAGAATACCACACCTGCAGGAAGGGGACATGCCTGGAGCCTGTAATTGCATGAAATGAAAGAATGCCGGTGCTGCTAGTGCAGATGTCGCAAAAATGTTTCAGTTGCTCGTCGCTTGAGCAACGCTGGAAATTCCCATGTTTCTCACAACCAGCAGGGACGGCAGGATATCAGAAGGTGGTGAATGAAAAGGCCGACTGTTGCACTTTACTGAGATGAATTACTAGCTTCAAAACTGTAAATTCCGAGGTCGGATTGTCGACATTCTCCCAAAAGGGTTCCCTCACACTAGTCCATGGCACCATGTCGGAGCCGCCATGGAAATCACACTAGAACAGAAAATGATCACCGAAGGGATCAGTTGGGAGTTGAATCCCTTCATGCAAACAACAAGACATGATCACCGAGCGTACGTAGTCCTCCGGAGAATTATCTCGAGTCAACAACAATTTATTATGAATTCTCTACAACGCGGTCAAGATAAGATCAAAGACCAAGTACAATAAGTAGAAGAAAGCGAAGTAGTCAGATTGCAAAAAACGTGCGGAAAAGCTCATGAAATAAGAACGACTTGCGAGTTCTGGGCTTTGCCAGTTGCCATACACACGCACTGATTGCAAAATAAATAGATGTAATGTTAGCAGACCCTGAACAACAGGTGATCACACACTGAAGTTTGGAGGTACGTGGATTGAGTGTCCTCAATCCATTTCACTGCGCAACAGATGCGTGATCGTTTGATGGAGACATCTGAGCCACACCCCATTCCCCCGCTATAAAATGAGCATTCATGAAAATTTGGCAAACAACGAACATGTTTTCAAACTTTTGAGATGTTACACACACACTCACACACACACATGCGCCATTCTTTCACCAACAACATTGTCACACACACTTTGGTAAACTCCTTGAATTTGGAGAGGGTGAAATGAGATGAAATGATAACCATCATGTCATGTTGTTACGTTAGCATGTCATGTCATGGCATGGCATGTCGGCATGGGTGGTTTTTGGCTTGGCCACCTTGCCATTTCTGACGATGAGAGTTTTGCAGGTACGTTTTCACGACGACATAGATGGGTCTTCGTTGGCCCGTGCCATCTATGCGTCCACGGCCCCCTGCTTTTACCCTTTGATTCAGGGTTTCCCACACACAGCAAGCCGCTAGGGCACGATTTCCGAACCAAAAAATGGTCCGTAATCAAGTGTGTTGTTTCCACGGTGTTGTGTTGTGACATGGAACATGGTGCTCAAATGTCCGTGACGTTGCGTTGCTTGCTCCAACAGAAACCCAACGAAGTTTCACGGCGTTCAGTTCAATTTCCACTGAAGAAGGCCGACAAAAGCAAACCACTGCATCCGATTTTCCGGCTGTTCAGCAAACAACCAACGACCGACAAAAAAGGCTGGTAACGGCAAGGCGCTGTTTCTCTCAGTGCTGGGTTGTGACATGGAACGTGGTGCTCATATCTCTGTGTACATGGGCCGTGGGTGTCATGAATGAGGTGTGGCATTTTTCTAGCTCTAACAAAAAAACAAGGAAGTTTCACGGCGTTCAATGTTCAGTGAAGAAGGCTGACAAAAGCAAACCACTGCATCCGAATTTCCGGCTGTTCAGCAAGCAACCAACGACCGACAAAAAAGGCTGGTAACGGCATGGTGCTGTTTCTCTGAGTGCTAGGTCATGACATGGAACGTGGTGCTCAAATCTCTGTGTACATGGGCCATGGGTCCATGGGTGTCATGAATGAGATGTGGCATTTTTCTAGCCCCAACAAAAACCAAAGGAAGTTTCACGGCGTTCAGTTCAATTTCCACTGAAGAAGGCTGACAAAAGCAAACCACTGCATCCGAATTTCCGGCTGTTCAGCAAGCAACCAACGACCGACAAAAAAGGCTGGTAACGGCATGGTGCTGTTTCTCTCAGTGCTGGGTTGTGACATGGAACGTGGTGCTCAAATCTCTGTGTACATGGGCGGTGGGTGTCATGAATGAGGTGTGGCATTTTTCTAGCTCCAACAAAAACCAAAGGAAGTTTCACGGCGTTCAGTTCAATGTCCACTGAAGAAGGCTGACAAAAGCAAACCACTGCATCCGATTTTCCGGCTGTTCAGCAAACAACCAACGACCGACAAAAAAGGCTGGTAACGGCAAGGCGCTGCTTCTCTCAGTGCTAGGTTTTTACATGATTGCAAAGTGAACATGAATCATGAATCATGGGATGACACGGGTTTATTCTGAGGGATGAAATTTTCACTCTGGATTCATTCTGGCGTGTCCTCCGGGATTTATTCTGAGAAGCATTCAATTCCTGATGGAGACTTCTGGGTGCTTGTGCGGACTCTGGATGCTTGTGCGGATTTGGCTTCTGGCAACATTATGTCTGGATTTATTCTTGTAACCTGGTATCCCCGGCGGACGAACCACCAAGCTTCCCCGGCACTTTATCAGAGATCCGGGTGCATGAAAGACACACTTTGGTAAACTCCTTGAATTTGGAGAGGGTGAAATGAGATGAAATGATAACCATCATGTCATGTTGTTACGTTAGCATGTCATGTCATGGCATGGCATGTCGGCATGGGTGGTTTTTGGCTTGGTCACCTTGCCATTTCTGACGATGAGAGTTTTGCAGGTACGTTTTCACGACGACATAGATGGGTCTTCGTTGGCCCGTGCCATCTATATATGCGTCCACGGGCCCCCTGCTTTTACCCTTTGATTCAGGGTTTCCCACACACAGCAAGCCGCTAGGGCACGATTTCCGAACCAAAAAATGGTCCGTAATCAAGTGTGTTGTTTCCACGGTGTTGTGTTGTGACATGGAACATGGTGCTCAAATGTCCGTGACGTTGCGTTGCTTGCTCCAACAGAAACCCAACGAAGTTTCACGGCGTTCAGTTCAATTTCCATTGAAGAAGGCCGACAAAAGCAAACCACTGCATCCGATTTTCCGGCTGTTCAGCAAACAACCAACGACCGACAAAAAAGGCTGGTAACGGCAAGGCGCTGTTTCTCTCAGTGCTGGGTTGTGACATGGAACGTGGTGCTCATATCTCTGTGTACATGGGCCGTGGGTGTCATGAATGAGGTGTGGCATTTTTCTAGCTCTAACAAAAAAAACAAGGAAGTTTCACGGCGTTCAATGTCCAGTGAAGAAGGCTGACAAAAGCAAACCACGGCATCCGAATTTCCGGCTGTTCAGCAAGCAACCAACGACCGACAAAAAAGGCTGGTAACGGCATGGTGCTGTTTCTCTCAGTGCTAGGTCATGACATGGAACGTGGTGCTCAAATCTCTGTGTACATGGGCCATGGGTCCATGGGTGTCATGAATGAGATGTGGCATTTTTCTAGCCCCAACAAAAACCAAAGGAAGTTTCACGGCGTTCAGTTCAATTTCCACTGAAGAAGGCTGACAAAAGCAAACCACTGCATCCGATTTTCCGGCTGTTCAGCAAGCAACCAACGACCGACAAAAAAGGCTGGTAACGGCATGGTGCTGTTTCTCTCAGTGCTGGGTTGTGACATGGAACGTGGTGCTCAAATCTCTGTGTACATGGGCGGTGGGTGTCATGAATGAGGTGTGGTATTTTTCTAGCTCCAACAAAAACCAAAGGAAGTTTCACGGCGTTCAGTTCAATGTCCACTGAAGAAGGCTGACAAAAGCAAACCACTGCATCCGATTTTCCGGCTGTTCAGAAACAACCAACGACCGACAAAAAAGGCTGGTAACGGCAAGGCGCTGTTTCTCTCAGTGCTAGGTTTTTACATGATTGCAAAGTGAACATGAATCATGAATCATGGGATGACACGGGTTTATTCTGAGGGATGAAATTTTCACTCTGGATTTATTCTGGCGTGTCCTCTGGGATTTATTCTGAGAAGCATTCAATTCCTGATGGAGACTTCTGGGTGCTTGTGCGGACTCTGGATGCTTGTGCGGATTTGGCTTCTGGCAACATTATGTCTGGATTTATTCTTGTAACCTGGTATCCCCGGCGGACGAACCACCAAGCTTCCCCGGCACTTTATCAGAGATCCGGGTGCATGAAAGACACACTTTGGTAAACTCCTTGAATTTGGAGAGGGTGAAATGAGATGAAATGATAACCATCATGTCATGTTGTTACGTTAGCATGTCATGGCATGGCATGTCGGCATGGGTGGTTTTTGGCTTGGCCACCTTGCCATTTCTGACGATGAGAGTTTTGCAGGTACGTTTTCACGACGACATAGATGGGTCTTCGTTGGCCCGTGCCATCTATGCGTCCACGGGCCCCTGCTTTTACCCTTTGATTCAGGGTTTCCCACACACACACACACCGTTTCAATGATGCTCATGATGTGGATTCTGTAGCGCGTTCCTCACGACGCCACCGGCGCCAGGCATGAGAGTTCTACCCTTTTTTTTGAGATGAGTGCAGAAGCCTTGCGAACAGATGCGCTGCATTGCTGGGCACGAGTTGCTTGGAGAGATTCTTCCGATAGTTTGCTGCATTCGGTTTGCATGCAGCTGTTGAACATGTCATTTGAATATGTCTCAAGGATTATCTGCAGGATTTGTACACAGAAGGTTTTCGGGAGAGGAGGTATTCCCGCCTTGATGGCACAGCGCAGGCATGGTCTGATAAATGTTCTGTTTCTTTTGCGTGTGTTGCAGCATCCGCATACCTGCATGAAAATATGTACGTCTAAGTAAGGGCCACATGTGGCGAGAGCCAAATGTTTTCAGCGGTTAGGTGTTCCCAGACCCAGATTGGTGCTCTCAGCACTCTGGCGTTTCCTTTCCCAATAAAGGATTTTGACTTATCTGCCTAGATCGGTTTTTCAGTTCCCATGGGGCTTTGGGGTTCCTGCTTAATATGATGGTGATGGTGGCGGTGGTGTGGTGATGCTTGTGGTGGTGATGGTGGTGGTGAACATGATGGGCTTGGTGTGATAGTGGTGATGCTCATGCTGATGTTGGTGATGCTGGTGGGGAAGAGAGGTGATGGTGCTGGTAATGATTTTGGTGGTGGTGCTGGTGGCGTTGGTGATCATTCTGTTGGTGATAACGATGCCAGTGATGCTGGTGACAGTGGCACGGGCAATGAGAGAAGGAAGTTTAGAAGCTATACATCCGCGTTGTGAAGTTTGAAATGCAGGTATGTATAAACAATCACGGCAAAAAGTAATCACTGCAACAAGAAGGAGAACAGCTGCAGATGAAGACCTGAGAACAGGTGGGGAGAGATGAGAAGAGCTGAGACGAGCGGGGAAGAGTTGAGATGAGCTGAGAAGAGCTGCGAGAAGCTGAGATCAGCTCAGATGAGCTCAGATGAGCTGAGAAGCGCGGAGAGGAGCTGAGAAGAGTTGAGAAGAGCGGAGAAGAGCTCAGAAGAGCTGTCAACTTGTTAATTTTCGAAGAAACCCTCGCACAAAAACTTCGTTTTCACAACTTCACGTTGCAGTTTTTGAAGGAAGTCTTGAACGAAAGCTAACTTCACAACATGCACTTTTTGAAGGAAGCCTCACACGACAGCTTCGCTTTCACAACTTCACAACTTGCGCGAAATAATTTGCAGGATAGCACATGCCTCCGAAGATGGATGTGGAAGGTCTGCCGCGCAGCGTTTGCGAGACCAGGTGCGGACCGGCCCCGCTCGGAACTGACGTTTCAAGGGTTTCTCCGTGCTTTCTTGCCAACGTAATTCTTTGGACTTTGGCACGTCACTGCGTGCAAACCGCCTTGGGTGGCTCCGTCAATGTTGCTTTGCGTTGCTGTTGCGCATCTAGTTTTATTGTCGTTTGCAACCCGTCTCTTTCAAATTGCATTGGAGCGGCTGCAACAATGTTGCTTTATGTTTTGCGGTTCGCGGCTTGCAAGTCGGCTTTCTGCTACACCGGCAAGAAAACCCCAAAGAGTGTGGGGGGTGGGAAGTTCATGTTTGAGATACAAGCAACTGTAGCTATGGAACAGCAACAGATCAGGCTGGACATTATCGTAATTGCAGAAGCAGCAACTTGTTCCGGCACAAGAAGCAACGCTATATCTACTCACCAGGACCTCATACCAGAACCTCACACCAGGACGCCTAAGAGAATTTCACAGGATCCTATTAAGGATCCTACAAGATCTTCATACAAGAACTTCCTATGAGCATCCCAGCAGAACTTTCATACAAGCACCTCTAACGCAGAGCATCTTCAAGATTTTAATGCAAGGACCTCTTCGGGAGGATTTCAACAGGATCTCCACAAGATCTTCTCACCGGGACCTGTACAAGATCCTACAAGGACTTATTAGGGGATTTCACCGGGATCTCTACAAGATAAGGAAATGTAAGAGAATCTCACAAAATCAGCAAATTAAAGGACCGCAAAACCCGACAAGTCAACGGTGTCCAATAATCAGAAACAGTGGCGGAAGCAGTACGGAGAAGGTAGGAAGGACAAAGGAGATGGTGGAGGATCGATAGTTTTAAAGATTTGTATGTGAATAGTGAAAGAGTGGTCTGCGACAAAATTGTGTGCGAAAGAGTTGTGTCTGTGTGTGACAAAGTTGTGTGTGACAAAGTTGTGTGCGAAAGAGTTGTGTGTGACAAAGCTGTGTGTGAAAGAGATGTTTGTGTGTGTGTGTGACGAAATTGCGTGTGTGTGTGTGCGTGTGTGTGCGTGTGTGTGCGTGTGCGTGTGCGTGTGTGGAACATCTGAAGAGATGTAAAACTTCTACCTTGATTGACGGAATTGCTTTTTCTTATCAGGTTCTTTGCCATTACAATGAACCAGTTTTGAGTATTTTACCAGGCGTTTATCCAATCTCCTTTTCAATTGCAGGGGGTGTGACGGTTGATTTCCTAGTCACGCCAACGAAGCTATGGAAATCAACTGGATGGAAGTTTGGATGGAAGTTTGGACGCAAACTTCTGTACCTGCAGTGTCGCACCTGGGCGCATTCAAGTCGCAGCTGGGGGACACGTCATACTGTGTTTTCTGTTGTTGTTTAACTGCAGTGTCAAGTGCCAACCAAACTTCAACCTGAGGTTTCTCACTTCTGATCATTCAATGGCTCCTGTCAGGTTTAATTGGAATGTTTTTGCACGTAAGATGCATTCCACATCAGAATTCGCAAAGGTGTTTCTGAGCAAGTGTGTGATTCATGCTGGATTCGTCAAGGTGGCATGAACCCTTCGGGGAAAGCTTGTCCAAGCTAAGACTTGACACTTCGAAATGACCTCTGAATTGACACTTTTGAATTAGTAATTCGTCTAAGTAACGTGAAACAGCTGGCCATTTTTCGGTTTTCACCCTGTCGACTGTCATTTGGTTGAACAGCATGCCGCTGTGCCTGGCTTCACCTTTTCTTTTGCCTGAATTTACAAAAATTTCTATTTCGTTTAAGTAAAGTGAACAGCTGGCCATTTTTCGGTTTTCACCCTGTCGAATGTCGTTTGGTTGAACAACGTGCCGCTGTGCCTGGCTTCACCTTTTCTTTCATGAAAAATCAGGCAACAGGACATGCTTTAGGTGTGGTCTTTCTTTCTTTTTAAGGTTCAATTGTGCACGTAATTCAGGGGTTGGCAACTTAAGCCGTTTACAGGGTTGTGACATGAAAGCCGAGGGCCTTTGAGCCTTATCACGAATAATGCACGTAATGTGGATGCATCTTATTTCACCAACTTGTTCCCCATTGGTCCCCTATCTCATGCGCGCTTTCCTCTCTAGGTCAGGTTTGGGTCCTTCGCGTTCCTAGGTAGGCTTTGGCTCTCGCCTTGTAGGTTGTGTCAGGCGCTTCTGTCCGCCCCCCCCTCCTCTGGTTGGTTTTTTGGCCCATCGTTCGTCCGCTTTTTCTTTTTCCTTGCCCTTTCAGGGTTTGCCCGTTTCGCGCCAGGTGTGTTGGTGTTGGTGTTCTCTCTTTTTCCTTTTCCTTTTTGCGTTCCCCCTCTTGTGTTCCGGTTAAGTAATTGTCATCTCATTTTCATCGCCATCTCATTTTCATCTTTCCTTCATCTTCACCTTCATCTCATTCGTCGGGGCCTTAAAAAGCCTCGCGGCAGCGGGGCGTGTGTGTGGAACATCTGAAGAGATGTAAAACTTCTACCTGGATTGATGGAATTGCTTTTTCTTATCAGGTTCTTTGCCATTACAATGAACCAGTTTTGAGTATTTTACCAGGCGTTTATCCAATCTCCTTTTCAATTGCAGGGGGTGTGACGGTTGATTTCCTAGTCACGCCAACGAAGCTATGGAAATCAACTGGATGGAAGTTTGGATGGAAGTTTGGACGCAAACTTCTGTACCTGCAGTGTCGCACCTGGGCGCATTCAAGTCGCAGCTGGGGGACAAGTCATACTGTGTTTTCTGTTGTTGTTTAACTGCATTGTCAAGTGCCAACCAAACTTCAACCTGAGGTTTCTCACTTCTGATCATTCAATGGCTCCTGTCAGGTTTAATTGGAGTGTTTTTGCACGTAAGATGCATTCCACATCAGAATTCGCAAAGGTGTTTCTGAGCAAGTGTGTGATGCATGCTGGATTCGTCAAGGTGGCATGAACCCTTCGGGGAAAGCTTTTCCAAGCTAAGACTTGACACTTCGAAATGACCTCTGAATTGACACTTTTGAATTAGTAATTCGTCTAAGTAACGTGAAACAGCTGGCCATTTTTCGGTTTTCACCCTGTCGAATGTCGTTTGGTTGAACAACGTGCCGCTGTGCCTGGCTTCACCTTTTCTTTCATGAAAAATCAGGCAACAGGACATGCTTTAGGTGTGGTTTTTCTTTCTTTTTATGGTCGTTGGTGAGGTTCAATTGTGCACGTAATTCAGGGGTTGGCAACTTAAGCCGTTTACAGGGTTGTGACATGAAAGCCGAGGGCCTTTGAGCCTTATCACGAATAATGCACGTAATGTGGAATCAACTTGTTCCCCATTGGTCCCCTATCTCATGCGCGCTTTCCTCTCTAGGTCAGGTTTGGGTCCTTCGCGTTCCTAGGTAGGCTTTGGCTCTCGCCTTGTAGGTTGTGTCAGGCGCTTCTGTCCGCCCCCCCCTCCTCTGGTTGGTTTTTTGGCCCGTCGTCCGTCCGCTTTTTCTTTTTTCCTTGCCCTTTCAGGGTTTGCCCGTTTCGGGCCAGGTGTGTTGGTGTTGGTGTTCTCTCTCTTTTTCCTTTTCCTTTTTGCGTTCCCCCTCTTGTGTTCCGGTTAAGTAATTGTCATCTCATTTTCATCGTCATCTCATTTTCATCTTTCCTTCATCTTCACCTTCATCTCATTCGTTGGGGCCTTAAAAAGCCTCGCGGCAGCGGGGCGTGTGTGTGGAACATCTGAAGAGATGTAAAACTTCTACCTTGATTGACGGAATTGCTTTTTCTTATCAGGTTCTTTGCCATTACAATGAACCAGTCTTGAGTATTTTACCAGGCGTTTATCCAATCTCCTTTTCAATTGCAGGGGGCGTGACTGATTTCCTAGTCACGCCAACGAAGC